CGCCCTCGAGAAGGAGTACGCTGAGCTCGAGGTCCTAGAAACGAATGCCCGCTCCGAGATTCGCCGCCTCCGCGAGGATGCGCGCAAGGCACACCCCCTCGTGCCTGACGAGCGGGGCAAGCCCGCTGTCGTCGAGTCGCGTCCCGCCGACAGGACACTTCACGTGGCTGATGCGCCGCCGCAGGGTTTGTTCCAGGACATTGATATGCCCGGTCTCGAGGGTATTGGTGCCCGCCTGGGCAGTCATATGGAGAGTCTGCGCGCCAACCTGCAGCCCGTCGAGCATGTCGTGCCAGAGATTGCACGGAGCAGAGCGGTGCTGCGAGCTGTGTTGGCCCAGCATCTTGAGCCGCAGCAGTTCCAGCAGGTTTTGCTTGGATAGCCACAATACGAGAGCTGGCGACTTCAGGAGAATGGCCGGACAGTACATGACTGATGACTCTGACTTGTAGCAAGCAAATTGATCACAACTTCTTTTGACATGTCTTGCTTGTGCATTGATGGCTTCCGTATTCTAATTGTCTCCTATTGAATTCAAAAGCCAATAGCAGCGTACGTTCACGCCGAATTCATGCCGTTCTGATCAGTTGACTCTTATTACCTTGCTTGCAACCCCTTTCCGTGCCTCGCGAGTCCCGGGATTATCAAACATATATTCGGTCTCGTTTCGTATTCGTGATGACCACTCTCGCAAACTAGCATGCGTCGCAACTCTTCAGGCAAGCAGTGTCCTTGGTTCGAGGTGATGCATCCTACTAATACAGTGGGGGCAAGGTGTGCTCTGAGCATCCCTCCTCGATACTCGTCCGCGCGGTTGCAATTGTCTCTCTTTTTTCCATGTCGAGCCTTCTATCCAGTTCATCCTGGAACTCCTGCGTGCTCTTCAGCATATCCTGTTGAGTAATGAACCTACCCTCGTATGCTGAGAGGTTCGTTTGGCTCGGTGCTGGCTCTGCAGCTGACTTGCAGCGTCGAACGACAGTACTACTACTCATCATTGACATGCTCGACGGGGAGCGAAGCGATGGGCTGCGTGACAAATGACTGCGAGGAGTCACATATCTCTCAACGGTTCCAGTCGTCAGCGTCGAATCTCGGGTGCGTCGCGTAAAGCATCTGCTTGTCAGCGGAGTGGTGAAGTAATCATCAGTTACCACGATAGATTCTCTCATTGGCCGACTGATCAGTTGCACAGGCGTTACTGGTGAAT